TTAGAACGAAATAAGATGGAAAGTAACCAAGTAATAAATAAAATAGAAAAGCTATAACATTCTGATACGAGCACGGTTGTGCTTGTAGGGGATCAAAGTGCACAACTCAACTCTCTTCCAACGGAACTTGAATGTAAGCAACTTAAAACGAAAATAAAACGGACCAAAGGTGCAACTTCACACTTGGGAAGAGGCTCGATTGGTTTAAGTCGAAGCTCGACCACGATTGATGTGGTTTCAATCGATACGAAGCAAACTTGCTGCTGGGACGCAACCCACACACAAGTACTTGGTGACAATGGTCACAACTTTTCATTCAATCAATAGCTACCTGTTACACGGGGTTCTCAAGCTTTAAATAGACAAATACAACCTAATTGGAACTCTAAACAAACAAGGAAAACAAATCAGAATTCTAACTTGACAAGGAAACAAAAAATCCTCTCCTAAAAGGGACACAAAACACACACGCCCACTGGCTTCCTGCGCAAGTAATTCATACAGCTCCCATAGCGACTTTGGAGCTCTCGATCATGGGCTTTCAAGGAGGTTCGACGAGATCAGCCTTCCTTCGTTTGTTCCCTGGGTCTCGTAGTTCAATTCCCAACTCACCTCGTCCCTCGACAATGCCCCATCAAGATGGAATAAGCCTCCAAAGTCGGGTCCTTGAACTAGTTCCAGACTTAGCCAAAAAAACAAGGCAATTAACAGTTTGATGCTAACAACTTGAGGCCTCTTAATCAACCCTCTTTGGCTCTTAATTCGCACAACCAAGCCTTCAACGTGGTCTATAAGCACTTGATCTCTCATTACCACCCTTCCTCTTGCAATTCCATCAACCGAGAGATAATATACGAACCTGCAAAGCAAGCACCACGAAACAAGTTGAACACTTAACCAAATACGACCCTTCTTCCTTCCAACGTTGGTGGGTTGTTCGTAGATCAATTCGAGCTTGGACACGAGGCTAGCTGGAATCACATCAAGCCCCCTTTCTTTAAAAAGCTTTATCCTCAAAGCTGGTCCACACCTGTAGTCAAAAACAGCGTCAGACAGGACCCAGAAAGGATCGAAAAAAAGGTACTCTTCAGTCGGCAATTTGAGCTCCGGCGACTCCATGTCGTCGACGATTCGTGGAAGCACCTCCCCCCGCAGCCTCTGATTGTCTCGATCGGACGCGGTGCTCATCAGGGGTCTTTCCTCACGGGACCGCACCACTTGAACCCTCCCGATCGCCCTCAATTCGCCGTTTTCAATTTTCCCGCCGTCGGAAAATTCAAACTTCCTAGAATCCGGCGATGAAATTCCAGAATCCGGCGACCTGAATGTGAAATTGGGGAAAATCAACCCAGCCTCTTTCGAGTCGATCTCTTTGCTTCTACACCACCCTTGGGACCCTAGAAATCGAACCCAGGTGGTTAATTTCGCCCGATCAACACCAATCTCCACAACCGATTCGGACTTATCTCGGTCGGCACTCTGCACATTTTGACTCAAATTCGTCGAATTGGGCGTTTCAATTTCATGGTCGATTTCCCCGATTTGTTTGATTCCACACGTTCCTGGGGTAGAATCAAACATGTCGACGTATGCGACTTGTTCCGAATCGCTTCCCAGCTTCCCACCCAATTCGTTCTCTCTCTTCCCCTGCCGCGTCGGAGAAGAAGAACAGGGCAAACTGATCGCGCTGGGTCGAGGACTTGGAGGCCTCCTCAAGGCAGTCAACATGAATCCTCTTCGCACCATACTAGTTCTTCTCCGTGCCTCCCCCATTTCTCCTTCGTCTCGAGCTCGTAGTGACGCCATTTGTTGCTGATCGGAGCGAACTTCCGACGGCGACAATGGTTTGAGCACAATCTGCTTCCCATTGTGCTTGAACCGGTAGCAATTCGTCCCACCATCGTGCGTAACTTCTCGGTCATACTGCCATGGTCTGCCCAGCAAGAGATGTGCTGCCTGCATCGGCACAACATCGCACAAAAGCTCATCCTTGTAGCCTCCAATTTCAAAGGCAACACGAGCTCGTTTGGTGACCTTGAGAGCTCCATAATCGTTCAACCAATGCAAGCTATATGGTTCAGGGTGTTTGATTGTCTCGAGACCCAATTTCTTGACAGCATCAAGGCTGATTACGTTTGTGCAGCTGCCCCCATCAACGACCACGGACAAGCACTTGCCGTTGACGAGACATCGCGTATGAAACAAATTCGTTCGTTGGTCGTGATCAGTCTCGCCTTCCGCCGTCAACACTCGCAAATTCATTCCTGAGAGAAAGGGTCCTGGCTCAGCTTCCATCTCTTCATCAACTTCGTCTTCTGATGACCCGTTCTTCGCGTCAGCACCTTGTGTTTCATCATCAGAGACATATTCGCCGTCTCTCAAGACCAAGGTCTTAAGATTAGGACAGTGAATCGCCTTGTGACCACGACCGTGGCACTTAAAGCATTGAATCGAACCACTGGAGGGTCCAATTTGTTTGGCTGGTGCAGAATTCTTGGAAGCAAGTTTGGCGATGTCTGGCTTAGTTACCTCGCCTGTCGCCTCTGCTCCTGGTTTTGGAAACCGTCTTCCAGCGGATAGCTTCTGCTGCTTCTCCACTTTAATGGCGAGATGAAGCACATCTTCCAATTCCACAAACGGCCGCAATTCCACCTCATGTCGAATTTCGCGATTCAGCCCATGAAGAAAGCGGGCGATCGTGGCCTCTCTGTCTTCTCTAACATCAGCCCTCATAAGAAGTAATTCGAGCTCTCGATAGTATTCTTCGACGCTCCTTGATCCCTGTCGAATTCCCTTCAAGGTTTCATGGAGTTCTCTCTGGTAATACGCAGGGACGAACCGTCCTCACATCAGTCCACGAAGTTCCTCCCAGGTTGCCACAGGAACCTGTCCGTTTTGTCGCCGACGACTCTGGAGTTGCTCCCACCACTGAGCAGCGTACTCCGTAAACTCATAGGTAGCTAATGCTACCTTCTACTGGTCTGTGTAGCGCCCACACTGAAAGAATAACAGAATTTTGCGTTCCCGATCCAGATATGCCGACGCGTTTAACGTACCCTGAAACGCCGACACTGAAAGCTTAATACCAGGTGGGATTGCCGGCTCGTCATCGCGGTTTTCTCGACGATCTCGCCCATGTCGTTCACGGTTGGGCTCAGCTACAATTATACGTCGCTCAAGCTCCTCGATTCGATTCATCCAAGCTGGATTTCCGTCGGGAATTCCATCGTCGCGAACTTCCCTGTCTTGATCTCTGTTTTCTGGTGGCGCAATTGCGTCAAACCGTTGATCAATTTCGCGCTTTAATTGGCCCAATTGCGTCTGGAATCTCGCGTCAATCTGGGTCAAAAACTCCTCCATGTCGAATTGAAGCCCAGCCATGGCTTGGTGGTTTGGTTGATTCTGGGTTTCGTTCTTCGACGAGTTCTCTGTTTTCTTCCGTCGAAGAGCAGGGTCAGCAGACACGGACCCTTTTGATCTTGTCCACGGCGCGGTTGCCGCCACGCCTTCCTCCGTTCTGTCCTCTGTGTGGAACCAGGCGATGATGCCACTTGATACGAGCATGGTTGTGCTTGTAGGGGATCAAAGTGCACAGCTCAACTCTCTTCCAACGGAACTTGAATGTAAGCAACTTAAAACGAAAATAAAACGGACCAAAGGTGCAACTTCACACTTGGGAAGAGGCTCGATTGGTTTAAGTCGAAGCTCGGCCACGATTGATGTGGTTTCAATCGATACGAAGCAAACTTGCTGCTGGGACGCAACCCACACACAAGTACTTGGTGACAATGGTCACAACTTTTCATTCAATCAATAGCTACCTGTTACACGAGGTTCTCAAGATTTAAATAGACAAATACAACCTAATTGGAACTCTAAACAAACAAGGAAAACAAATCAGAATTCTAACTTGACAAGGAAACAAAAAATCCTCTCCTAAAAGGGACACAAAACACACACGCCCGCTGGCTTCCTGCGCAAGTAATTCATACAGCTCCCATAGCGACTTTGGAGCTCTCGATCATGGGCTTCCAAGGAGGTTCGACGAGATCAGCCTTCAGACGTTTGTTCCCTAGGTCTCGTAGTTCAATTCCCAACTCACCTCGTCCCTCGATAATGCCCCATCAAGATGGAATAAGCCTCCAAAGTCGGGTCCTTGAACTGGTTCCAGACTTAGCCAAAAAAACAAGGCAATTAACAGCTTGATGCTAACAACTTGAGGCCTCTTAATCAACCCTCTTTGGCTCTTAATTCACACAACCAAGCCTTCAATGTGGTCTATAAGCACTTGATCTCTCATTACCACCCTTCCTCTTGCAATTCCATCAACCGAGAGATAAGATACGAACCTGCAAAGCAAGCACCACGAAACAAGTTGAACACTTAACCAAATACGACCCTTCTTCCTTCCAACGTTGGTGGGTTGTTCGTAGATCAATTCGAGCTTGGACACGAGGCTAGCTGGAATCACATCACATTCGGTAAAAAATATAGAAAAGAAAATATGACTATAAAAGTTACAATATTGTTTATTACAACATTCATGGAATAAATCAATTATTAAAATACATAATGATAATTGAAAATAATTATAATGATAATTAATTCTAAATTTTCTATTCAAAAATTGGTTTGGTATCAAGTATTCAAAAGAAGATTCTAATTAAACACTAAAAATGATATTTTTCATAAGTCCAAATGATTTTTTTTACAATAAAAAAGTAGAAGGACCAATTATGAAATTTAGAAAACGGAATATTCCACGAATATTCTATAAAGTTTAACGGAATGCACTTAGCAATAAACTTAAGTGGTATCGAAAGCACATATAATAGAATTCAGTGATACCCACACTCTATTCAATCTGAAGTGATATATCTATCCTAATTCTCAAATTTAAGTGCGGTATTTTAAGCAACAATAAACCGGTTAAACAACTTGATATTATGGTATTTTACTATTTTGGGAAATTGTAATACTAAGTTACTAACATTGACGGTGCCGGTACGGGAAAACTTAATCGCAACGACGCCAACGAGTGAAGAGTCTTCTTCCTATCTACGGAGAGAGACACAGAAACCGATCAAAAAACACAGATTTAATTAACAGAGCGCGAGCATAGAGATCCAGCAAACGAGTCAATAGTTCAATTCGGGCCTCTACCCCGTGACACAGAAAACATCCTGCCAGTTCAGAAATCGGAGGAGGACCGGAGGATCGAAGCAAGCTTTGACATCATCACTATGATCTCGCAGTTCTTCGTCCTCTCGCAGCGCGGCGATAATATTGTCTTCCGCGACTGTGAGCCCTTTCTCTTTTCCTCCCCCACAGATCTACTGCGGTTACATTACCTTCGCAATTGGCCATCCCGAATCTAGTTTGATTGAGATAATCATTACACAATTCCGTCGCCAAATCAGCATTTGGAACAGATCCGGCGGCTGGCTTTTTCGCTGTCTTGCTTGATTTCTATATTACGCTTGATAACTAGGGGAGGGGGCAATTCTCTGTTACTCAAGTACAGGTGTGTGCATTTCTGCGCTGCCAAGTAGTTGAGCCTGTGTGTGTGTTTGTTTGGTGAATTGCAGATCGCGGTGATGTGCAAAAGGGGAGTGCGGAGATATTTTTCAGGAAAGTGAAGTTCTGGAAAGATGATGGAGAAGAAGAAGCGCCACCTGTATTTGTAGGTTTTATGTTTCTGAATAATGTTGGGGTAGTAGTATCAGTTAGTTCCATTAGCTGGCCATGTCCTTGCTGTTGTGCTGTATCAACTTCGAATCACAAAGACTGAAGTTAGCTCTGTCTGGAAACTCTTCTGAATTAGGGCGGCCATTAGTTGTGTAGATAATTGATTTTGATGACGTTATTAATGGGAATCAAGGATGTTAGGTTTTGAAGCTGAAGAAATGATGCATATTAGATTTTATTGCTTGTTCCATTCACCTCGCAAGGGCATGCTGACCTTTGCATGTTGCGGTGATTGGTAAATATGTTGAGATAGCGATGGGATGAGGGACTAATAAGTTACTTTGTTTCCCGTGGTAAACACCTATAAGCTCTTCAATTTTCTTAGGTTGGGAAGTACATTGTCTAGTTTTGGTGAAAGCAGCCGTCATTTTGTTTTCCGATTTCTCAGTGAATTAGCCATTATGATTTCACTTTCGCGGATTTATTCATAACTGAGGTAAGAATGCTTCTACACGGTACCATGTCATGCTCTTTGCTTCATGTGATAGTATTTCTGGGTTGTTCTACAACTCAATGGGGGGTTTTCATCTCTCTGGTTTGGACTTACAATCTGCTTTATGTTTACTTATTTCTTCTTTTTCTGTTTATTCAACAGAATGTGGATGGTGTGAACTACTTTCATGTGAAGGTCGTTGGGCTATTATTTGTTGCAACAACTAGAGTTAATATGTCGCCTTCTCTAGTCTTGGAACTTCTACAACGAATTGCTCGTGTTATCAAAGACTACCTAGGGATTCTCAATGAAGATTCTATTCGGAAAAATTTCGTGCTTGTCTATGAGTTGCTTGATGAAGTCATTGTAAGTTCCCTGTCTCGTGTATTTTTTTGAAGTCATTGTAAGTTTTGGTTGCAGCAAACTGGAATTTGCACTCCTTTAGGGTTTGATTGGATATCTCTCTTCTGTAAAACCATTGTGAACCTTGTTACCTCTGTGAAGCTCAGTAATGGCTGGATTATTTAAGGATGGTTCTCCTACTATTATTGAATATTTTATGCTGTACACTGTTGACTTCTGTTTCCAGGATTTTGGTTATGTACAAACTACATCTACAGAAGTTTTGAAGTCATATGTCTTTAACGAGCCCATTGTGATTGATGCTGCCCGTTTGCAACCTCTCAATCCTGCTTCCATGTTCATGGTATGATTGTATGTTCAGGTGACATCTTTGTTGGTTGTTCTGTCACTCAACTGGTTTGTTTGATTCATGGACACTTAATGCTCGCAGCAAGGGACCAAACGCATGCCAGGTACCGCAGTAACAAAATCAGTGGTTGCAAATGACCCTGGGGGTAGGAAGAGGGAGGAAATATTTGTGGACATAATTGAGAAAATCAGTGTGACGTTCAGCTCCAGTGTAAGTATTGGTTGTACTCCTCTTAACTCTGAAGTTATGCTACCTTTTTGCTACATGGATATCTATCCAATCTTCAGTAACGGTGACAAGAGAAAGAGAGTTATGTTTTGATCTCAAAATCTGATGTTGGATCTTCTACATTTTTGTTTATCAAACTTTCTCATCAAAATTGCTTTCTTAGCTGTAGATATTAAGAAGCCGCGTCCATGATGTGTGTGGAAGATGTTCTAATTTTATATTAAAAAAACTAAGTTTCAATAGCCTACTTAATGCTGAGTTCTTGTAGGGTTTGCATAATACCTTTTAGACTAAGGTTAGTTTAAAGGATAGCTGTGGAATGCATTGATTAACACGAACTAGTGATGTAGTACCTACATGCAGATTTTACGGGTGTTCATTTTGCATGTTCATATCCACTTAGCAGATTTCATTTCTAGTTTTATAGGAACAGCATATCATGCCAATGAGTTTAGGATTTTTTCCTCGGGAAAGGAGAATGCCGGAACAAGATATGGTGCTGAAATTTTGTACTATAATATGCTGTCAATGCTGGTTTTTGTCTGAACCATTTTATTTGCTTCGTACCTATTGGGATGAATTCATTTGGTTATTTCAGTTATTTTCATTTTTTCCCATGCATCTTATTCTTAATCAAGTGTCGCTTCCTTCAAACAGGGATATATATTAACATCTGAAATTGATGGCACAATTCAAATGAAGAGCTACCTTAGTGGAAATCCAGAAATTCGTTTAGCTCTTAATGAGGATCTCGCAATTGGAACAAGTGGAGGGAGAGCTACATATGGTATCTTTCAAGACCTTAATTGTTTTTCTTTTGTCCATCATACAGTTTACCAATACTTTAATTTAGTAGGTTCCAAATTATCCTTTTAAGTTTGTTGAGGGAACTGTTAGGTACTAAGTTCAATATGCTCTGGCCGGTGCTATTGTTGCTAGTCTTATAATATTTTATCATTTTAAATACATTTTAAGAGGAATGTCAACTTCACCTCATCTCAAATTTACCACTTGCTTTACAGATTATAGGAGTTCATCGGGTTCCGGGTCGGTGATTCTTGATGATTGTAACTTCCATGAATCCGTTCGTCTTGATAGCTTTGATATAGACAGAACTTTGTCACTGGTGAGTAAATCTGACCCGATGCAAGTTCAAATTTTCCATTGCTTTTTCATTATTCTATTGAATTGATCTTGCCAATGCTATTGCCAGGTGCCACCAGATGGTGAATTCCCTGTTATGAATTATCGCATGACCCAGGAATTCAAACCTCCCTTCCGCATTAACACATTGATTGAAGAGGCAGGAAGCCTTAGGGTTAGTGCTATCTCTTACTTGCTGCCATATGCCATTTACTTGCTTGTCTTGAACAAGAGTGTCTTCTGTACTTTTGGCATGTAAATGTGCAAGTTAATTGCAAGAATGTGAATCCTTGTCCCTAATTAACCTTTTTCAGTTAATGCTCTACATTGTATTTGTGGCTCTGCTGTGTTCTTTAGGCTGAAGTGATTCTGAAGATCTCTGCGGAGTTCCCTTCAAATATCACGGCAAACACAATCATTGTGCAGATGCCACTGCCAAAGTATACTGCCAGGTAACAGTTTTTCTTTTATTAGACCATATTGAGTAAGTAAACTGCACAATTCTATATAGACAAATTTGTGGAATTCCTCTATGACCTTGATAGTAGGGTCATAGCCTGAAACCGTTGCTTCTTACCTTCTTTTGTTGACCCATACTTTTTGCATTATGGTTTGATTTGAGGTTGTGCTGACTTCATTAGGGCTACTTTTGAGTTGGAGGCTGGAGCAGTTGGGCAGACAACGGATTTTAAGGAATCAACTAAGAGGCTTGAATGGGGTTTAAAAAAGGCGAGCTTCCTTAGATATATACTGTTTTCTTTTATTGCTTTACACAAGTTAACAAAAACCAAGGGATTAAGTATCTGTAATTTTACCACAGATCTCTGGTGGATCTGAGCACACATTACGCGCGAAGCTGACATTTTCTCAGGAGTTGCACGGTATGAATTTTGAAGAATAGATGAAGCGACTGTATGTTTGTTCAGCTCACTAGGACTGATAATGCTTCTTTTCATCACTTTTTCCCCCACACGAATCAGGAAATATAACAAAAGAAGCTGGGCCAGTCAGCTTGACATTTACAATACCGATGTACAATGTTTCCAAGCTTCAGGTAAGGCAATTTACTCCCTCTAGTGATGAAAAACATATTCTCTATTGCCATAAGAGACTTTTAGTGCCACACATGCTCTTGAATAATTCTCACATATACACCTACTTGCTATCGATCAATCTCCATGGAGGGATCCTGAAGACGCATGTTTTCTTGTATGTGGATTTGTGGTGCAGGTGAAGTACTTGCAAATAGCGAAGAAATCAAGCAGTTATAATCCATACAGGTGGGTGAGATATGTAACCCAGGCCAACTCCTATGTCGCACGCATATGATGATGACGATTCATTCAGAGGAGTGGTAACCGGTTAACCGTTTCCCTGGGTGCTGTATCTTTATCCAAACAGAAGAAATACTTGGTAGAGACTCTCATGGATTTCTGTCTTGCATATGAAGATGCACCTTGTTATCTCCGACTTGTTCAATTTTGTCGATGCAAATCGTGTCGTCTGCATATCGAGTTCAAATGAGATGCAACTGTTTATTTGTTCATCAGACTCTCCTTTCCCCAAGCCTCAAGTTCCAGAACTGCTAAAACCTGAGCTCCCACCTTTCCCAAAACTTGGAGTTCCACAGCTGCCCGAGATAACAAAACCTGAACTTCCAAAAGTAGCAGAAGAACCCACTACTCCTTGAATCTTTGTTTCCCAACTCGGTCATGCTACTTATTCTACCTGTTGAAGGTGGCGGCGGCTACATCTACTAGTTGCTCATGCCCTCATTAGCCATATGAGGTCTGGTTTGAATACCAGCATTTTAATTTTTGTTATCAAATACGTTTGTCTGATTACTTTTGTGTATCGATTTTGTACCCTTTTATGCTTAGTGTAATTATTATACTTCATCATATGATTTTTATATTGAAAAGAACATTATTCCATTTCTATTTATGGTTTTCGGTCATTTTAGTTGGTCCATAGGTGGATCTTTCGGAAATCACATCCCAAGGAAATTTTAATACTCTACCTTTCACTATTTAGACTCAACTATTCTTTCTATTATAATTCTTATTTATTTATTTTTCTGTGCTCTTGTAAAAAAAAGTTAAATATTAGCTTTTTTCAAACGGAACATATAATTCTCATTCATTTATTTTTATAATAATGGGTCGACCATATCCGCCCTCACTCGCGCTCAATATGGAATAGATATGAGTATTGAGATACTCGCTCAGCCATGCTACATTGCCATCACTAGATATTAACCACCATAACTGGACTAATTGTTTTTAAATTCAAACTCTTGAATGCGATTTATACTTGGATGAGATAGTTTTACGAATTTTTTCTTAATAAACAGGATTTTACGATTCTCATGGGTTATTCATGAAAAAAGAAAACAGGAAGGCATTAGACTAATCTTATCCGGTAAACTCTACCAAAATTTCTTTTTTCATCTCCAAATATCTGTCACGGAACAGGTTATTATCGAAAGACATTCTGAAGTGGTTATTCATCAATTTCGTCAGTAAGTGGCTCTGGATTCCCTTGGAACTTGGAAGGCCTGTGCTTCAAGATTCTCATTCATATTTTTTACTTAGTGTTTGTTTGTACAGAGTTTAGAACAGCAAATAGGGGTTTTATTGTCATTGGGGAAAAAACTCCGCCAAATTTAATCAAGGCAATGCTCTTCAAAAGCTAAAGAGAAAAGGACACTAGGGTGGAACATAAATCATTATATATCTAATTTCAGCATTTAAAATATCCGTTATACAACATTTCCACGGACCCTCTTCTCTTCTTCTGGGCTGGGGACTCATCCCCTGCACTATACACTCTTCAAGGAATCGTCCCTATATACAGATTACAGAGAAATTAAATCATGGCAGCAGTGGGGGAAAAGGGAACTTCGACAAAATGGTGACGGCTGAGCTGATTTTCCAGTCACACAGAGTGGAAAAACTACCACTTCAGCCCCCAAATCCCTTTTCCCCATCTCCAACACCACTTTATTTACCCCTCCCCAACCCTAAACTCCAATTGATGCCGCCGGTTCCCAGCTAATAAAATTACAAATGGCTTAATCTGTTCTGTCGCTCACTGATCTCCTAAAGGGTACACCAGATTTTACATCATTTGAAGACAACTTGCTACTAACCCGTCCTACTAATCTCTCCGAGTCAGCTTCTCTACAACTACTACTACCTAATTTCCTACTACGATGAGCACTATGCTTAACCGTGTCAGCGTGGTAAAACCGACGCTCACCTCCTTCCGTTACCCTCCTGCTCCCCGCCCTATTCTCCCAAACATCACCACAATGACTTCCAGATGTCTCTGCAAACCCTGCTGCTGAAGCATCCCGGTCTGTGTTGGAAAGGGGTGAATGCCTCGAGTACAACGGAGATGAAGAAGTCGACGATGACGATGATGAAGATGCCGTGGCGGCGTCAAAATCTGCGGCTGCTTTCCTCCAAGTGCTACTGTTCCAACCCCCAAAAATGTAATCGGAAAGATCATCAGCACTCGTGGAATCCCGGGTGCTATCAGTGCTGCACGAGCCTTCATCAGAATTATTGCTGCTGGTGAACGAGTAATTGTCGCTAGACGAGGAGTCCTCTTCCAAGATCCTCTGCAACCGGTGGAACTTCAAATAGAAAGATTCCACACTTGCTGCTTCATTATCCAGAGAAGACGCTACTGAATTGGGCTGATGTTGAAGCAACTCATGATCGCCACTTGATCTCGAACTTATTACTCCCACCTTCGGGTGGATTTTAGAAGCACTGCTGCTTTTATTATTCTTCACATCAGGAGACAGTACTGTTCCATTCCTTATCAACCCTGGTGGGGCCTGGGGAGAGCATCTGCAAGAAGAAAAATCAATCAGTCAACTTACACTACATTGACCAATTAAAAGAAGTTTTGAAGGGATGTAAAAGCGAACGTAATTTATCCTTACCTTGCATAAAGAAGCATGTATGCACCTTTGCTCAAGACCCTTTCCAGTTCAACAGTTGTTACCTGATTAAACAATAGAAGCAAATGATTGGTAATGGACAATTTCATTTTATTTAGTGTGTCTAAACCAAAATAAAGAAACAGTGGAAAGCTTCGCAGATTAGCAATAAATTTTAAAGGTTACTAAATTGTCACAGCCTTTTCCAAAGATCCTCGAGATGTGAATCATTCATTCACTAGGCAGGGGTTCCCATTTATAGAAGGTGAGTTTACACTCAAATCCACATGTAGAGTAAAACAGTAACAGCTGAAGTTACTTGAAGAAGATAGAAGGTGCGATATAGCTATGCCTTGATGCATAGTTGAAGACAATACACAGGGAAACATAAATAAAAACTCTTCTCAATGGAAAAAGAAAATCATAAATGTACATATAGAACATACCGTGCTGTCGTCAATCTTGAACCACCTATTCTGGCTATTTTTAACATAGCACACATAGTGACCGGAAAATGAAGCATTCATTACATCTAGGTGAACGATCACCGCGTAGAGCCTGTAAATTGGCGATTTATCACTTGTACCACTCATGTATGGTGCCAGGTCCAGGATCTCAGGGAACCGAATCGATTTATTGAGCTTTCCAAATTTACCCGACTGCAAAGCAAGACTTAGTCAGATTAAAGCTGCTAGTCTAGATGCATTATAAAGTATTTAAAGTAAGAGACTTGCCTGGAATCTCTTCAAAGCAATTGTAAGTATATTAGGTGCCTTCAATATTGTCAGCTTCTTCTTGGCTTTCTCATAAGATTTGCATCTGAATAGCGTTACAACAACAAAGCGAATCAGAGAACACAACAGACATGTAACAGCAGCATTTAGCTAACTTATGGGTCAAAATATACATCCGTCAAGCTAATCATTTTGCATATACTGAGCTGGGCAGTGTGAAGTTAACATAATCGGGGAAATTAAGCATATACTACAATTCTGAAACAAATGTGCAAGTCACGTTTGTTCACCAGACTCTGGGGAGACCATATTATTAAGTACTATCTACATCCAACAGAGATCCCCTGAGGAACGAAATATCACAAAGTGATACAACTGTAAGGTTAACCATACAAAAATGACCATGCATCAAGCACAGAAGTCATGAATCAACACCAGTCTCATAAAAATATTGCAAGTTCTGAAATTTCTGCACCAAAAGATAGCGAGGCGGTAACTTACATGCAGTGAATCTAAGGTTCAAATGCATTACCAGGTCAGTATTATACAACAAAATCTATAAAGCATTGCAGGGTGAAATTGTCCAAATATGGTGTCTAAACTCTAAAATAACACGATTGATACAAATCAATTAAAACATAAGTACAAAGCAAAGTGACATGACCAACCTGCCGCACTGGTACTTGTTTTCCCCATCTAGAATCTCAGTACTAGTAAATCGCCTGAGCGCATCTTCTAGCTTGCCTATGTCCCCTTCGATTTCAACTGTGAGATCCATCATTCTTTCTTGCCGTTCTGATTTGTAGTGGCACTTCATGCATTTTATCTGCAAAAACCCATATAAATGTTAAGAATCAACACTGGCTGCACTACACATTATCGCAACAGGTTATTCGGTTCAATTCAAACACAGTATCCAAGGACAAAAGCTAGAGACAAGATTCGGGGGTTGGACAATTACTGGGGAGAACAAGTACCAACACCTGAAGGTTTGGGGGTGAGCTGAACCAAGTCATCCAGCTGAATGCTAAATAGTTACCTTTGATCTTAGATAGCCCCCGAATGTCAGGCCAATAAGGGTAGTTTCTTCTTCGGTTGAGCCCACTGCTTTAATTCCATCTTCTTTCAGGCAAACAGATTGCATAGCGTCAATAGCATACCTAGAAAGTAACCTGACGGTTTAGAAAGCTATGATGGAAAACCAAATTGAGAAAACAGCAGCTAAAAACATGTAATTTTAGGGAGTATACCAAACAGAGTCATACACCAACCTCAAAAATTCATGTGCATCTTCTTCTCTCCCATTACCAAGGTTGCTTCCAATGTTCTGTAGTTGTGAAAGTATAGAAACGGGAGAGAGTGGGCTTCTCCCTTCCTTAGCCTTCAAAACCAGATTTTCAAGCTCACAAGTGAAACACCATCCCTTCCTTACACCTGATATTAAAAAGAAACCCTCAGATAACATATGATTAAAAACAGAAGATTATTTTTGAAGCTTAAAAGATAGAAGTGAACCATTAAGAATCATACAGGCTTTAGAGTGGTGTCCTTGGGAAAAATAAGCAGTCAGGGGAGGTGTAAATGACAAGCACTGAAGAACAGCATTAGCATAGCAGCTGCAAGAATGGATCAAAGAGTGTGTCAATAATAGCTGTGCAGGACATTTACAGAAAACATTTAGATGCCCCCTCATCCAGCCACAGTAAAACGATATAGACAGAATAAGAAAGTGTTTATCTCGAATGCTTTGGACAAACAAAAATTATGCCGAAATTTACAAACATAAAACATGGTACCGAAATAACCTAATTATGTACTTAGTGTGCACCTGTTCCCGCAATTGATGAGTCCGCATGGTTGCAAATCCACCTTGTGAGAGTATAACTTTACAAATAGATCATAAGGAAAAATGCCCTGGTACAAAACAAACTACAAGTGAATTTCTGAACATTTTACCTAAGCACAAAATAACAAAAGAAAGCAAGACAAACCTTATTACTGTATCTTCCACATTTAGGTCCTCTAAGTTGGTCAACAACCTTCCTCATTGATGATCTCAATCCACTCATAGAACTTGAAGACATGCTTCCAGACTGGTTAGAAGTAACAGGTAACACTTCACCATTTTCAACTTTCACAGCTTTCACAATTAGCAATGGCTGCGCAATCATACTAGAAGCATGCTGCTCAGAAGATAGTCTGGGTTTTGACAAATGTGAAGCTGCTATAGTATCACTAGCAAGAAGATTTGATCTCTTGTTCGAGGAATACAATCCAGAGACTTTCGAAGCATCTCCATACAATGCATCCCCTTCACAACTGGAAGATACATGCGGAGCAGAGGACTTTGATGCAGCCCTAAGCTCATGGGTCAATAAGACTTTTGAATCCCCACAGGAGTCATTCTTGATGCGAGTATGCCTTTCTGAGTTCCCAGATTTAGAGCTACTGATTCTTGGAGCATCCGCAATGATATTCTCGAGTGCAGATTTCCTACTGGGTTCCTCATCAGATATAAGTTTTTCTCCTTCTGACCGCTGTATATGAGAGGAAAGAGCATCAATTCTGCCCATGTTGTACTTCAAGTGACGGTTTTGATCAGATACCTTAGTCTTCACAGCTCTAGCAGAATTGGGTTTAGCATTAACATCTTCGACAACAGTGGCCACAACAGACTCTGAAGTGCCACCCCAATAATCAGAAGCAATCTTAACAGGGTTGGTTTTAGAAAATGTAGCACTGATGCTGGGACCTGAGGAACTAGAGGACACATAAATATTTGTTGGCTCTCCACTATGCGGTTTGATGTCATCTGAACGAGCCATAAAATTAACATTATCAGTGGCATCAGCCAACTTAGCAAATTTTGGAGACAATGGCTCCAGCTGATCCACTTTGCTCAAGCCAGAACGGAGAATGTCAGATGCAACATAGGTGGATGTTTGTCTATCTGGACCCTCAGGATCATTTGAACTGATGCTTTCACTGACAGAAGCCTCATCAGACGATTCCCCGCTTGTAGCAGGACTAGAAAATCCTGAAAAGAAGGTACCTGACGATTCAGATGTAGAATCCACCCCTCTTGTATCTGAAATGAAATCAACTCCAGTATCTTCTTCCTTTCTAAGTGCAATTTCAGGAGACCAACCGGAATCAGAAGATGCATGCTCAGTTGATGATGTATCACTTGGTGCATTTTCCCATCTGGCATCATAAGTATGAGGCTCAATTTTCTCTGCCACCTCCACCTTGAAACTGGTTCTATCATCATTCAAGATGGAGGGAGGATGACAATCATCCTTATGACCCTGTCGCCAGTGGATGATTTGGCATTTTCCAGAACTGAAACAAATCAAATGTAGGTGTAAATGCATCAAGGAACAAGCAAGAATGATATGTGATTATTGCCGTTATAAGAAAAAGAATGACAAGGTCAATGAAGAGTACTGTGCTAACTATTGTACTAAAGAACGAACTCCAAAAGAGTTATAGTCATATATAAGTCACGAAATTTTGCCTGTTGGTGTGCCACATTTGGCTAAAGTTAAACAGTTCATACCAGCCAGAAGGAATTTGAGGGGCGCCAACTGCTCTATTAACAACCAATTTCTCCAGCATCGTCATTAATATTCAGTAATGCTCGAAAGAACTCATCAACTATCTAGAAGAACATTAAAGACCACCCAGTTTTTGTACCCTTGTTAGGAACCTTGAGTATAGTGTCTTTCCAGCAGACTAACGATTCCTAAGAAAATTACTAATTCATTATAATTCCCGATCGTATGCTAGATAAAAGAATCAAGCTTGTTGATGATCATGAGATAGAGAAGCTCTACACATACTCAACAGATCTATCTCCCATGGACAGCATTTCCTACATAGAGGAAGGTGATTCTTTGCAAAGCTAAAATACAGAAACTTATAACTCCATATCACAAGGGTAGCATTTCCCACTTACGGAATGATAGCAAAGCAAACCCGGACTTCTGAATCTCAATTGCATATGCAATCCATGGAGAAAACTGAAACCACATCTCTATACCAACCCTAAAAGCAAATATATGCTCAGCGACACAACAGATCCCCATTCTCTCCCTTCTAAACATACTCAACAGATCTATCTCCCATGGACAGCATTTCCTACCTAGAGGAAGGTGATTCTTTGCAAAGCTAAAATACAGAAACCTATAACTCCACATCCCAAGGGTAGCATTTCTCAAGTGCCGAATAATAGCAAAGACAAACCCGGACTTCCGAATCTCAATTGCATATGCAATCCATGGAGAACACTGAACCCACATCTCTATATATCAACCGTAAAAGCAAATGAATGCTCAGCATCACAACAGATCCCCATTCTCTCCCTACTTCTATAGCCTAGCCCATAATCAATTCCCCAGAGAAGGATCATCTTAGTTGTAATTCTGGAGCAAAGTAGCAACTAACAGGAAAAGGCTAAGTAATTGAAACAGGGTTGAGATTAGAAACGAATTAGCATACCAATATCTGACGGCTTTGCACTGGGCACATCGCGTGGTGGTTGGGGAATAACAAACAACGCACTGGTACACATTCCGGGGCACAGGGACGGCAGTGTAGGAAACCGTAGCCTCGAGCTCAGCTCTAACAGCCTCCTCGGACGCCAACACGAGGAGCCTGTTGATCTCCTCGTTCCTGGCGACGGCAATCCGCCATTTGCGATGAATTAAGAGGATTGCAATCGGGAAAGCGAGGCACACCGCCGCAAGGACCAGGCTGGAAAACCCTAGATCCCCGGGGACATGCATTTATGATTTCAGACTCCTCAACCTAACACGCATCCAGCGGAATTCACAATCCCAGAAGCTCCTGCTCTCTTCCCCACGCATAGAATGAGCCGGGCAAACCGGAGGCGGCGATTGCAAATGGACAGACGGCGAGATCGGGAAACAAGGGGCGTCCAATCGGTTTCCGCCGAGGGCTGGGAGAGAAACGAGGAAAGCCGAAAAAGATGCCAAACACAAACGCCCACCAGTGAATTGCCGGGAAGAAACGCAAAGGGGGAAATGCCCTGATACGGTTTGATGGGAGAATCGCAAGCTCGGACTGTGGAGATGGCGAGGAATATGAGTGCGGGAATGTGGATTTTTTTTTTTTTTTTTGGCAATCAGATCGAGATTTTAGGGTTTGTTTCCTCTCATACCGTTTTTTCCTTTTCCTTTGTTTTTCTTTTCAACAGAAGTAAAGGGAAAAGAAATGGAAGGAGAAGAGAAGAAGAGCGACGAGGACAAGAAAAAGACAAAAGAGTTTAATTCATTTTAGATTCGTAAAAGAAAAGAAAAAAGAAAATTGGAGGGGCGAAATAAATGAAATAGGGGGAGGGAATATTGGTTTAATTTAATAATAATTGGTACGGGTGAGGACAAGGGAAATTTGATGTTGGAGGGAAAGGAATTTTGTTTTGGAGCAATTGAGCAGAGAGAAAGAGAGCATATTAGTTTAGTCTGTGTGTTTGTGTATAGAGAAACGTGAATTCTTTGCTCATCTGATATTCGGAATCCATCACATACCCGACCCGAGTCCAAGTCCAACTCACCTCATTGGTGCTTTTAATTTTTAATTTAATTAGAACATTCAACGTTTATTCAAAGAGAAATAATAATTATTGTTATTAATAATTAAAATTCAATGGTTTTTTTTCCATGCTCTAATAAGTAATAATCTACCGGTACTATAAGATTATATGCTATTGTCATTTTTTTTAACAACACACTTTTTAATTTGTTATGAAACTAATGGAAAATATAAACAACTACAAGAGAATATTAGAGAGGGAAAGACACAAAGAAGAGAGGGGGAAGAGCTTTCTTATTCATTCTTCTCTTTTGATATAATGGTGTGCTTTATTTATAAAGAATTTGTGACCTCCTTCGCTCTTGTGCTCTAGAGAATTTGAGTAATGCAGAATGGCAGAAAGAAAGTTACTGGTTTGATTGGCTGTGAATGTGTTGGGTTTGGAACTGTGGAACCTTGTGCTATGAATACTTCCACCACCGAAAATGCTTTCCCCCCATGTCCAAGACCCTAACCAGTCGCTTGAACCTGCGTCTGAGACCTCCGGATTAGTTAGTGGTGACATCCCTTGTGTGAACTTTAACATTTAGAGGTTGCCATCATGGTGAAGAGACGTAGGATTTGAGAGAATAAGCATGCACATTTTTCACATCAAATTGTCCTGACCCCACTGGTCGAGAGTGAGCGATTCATTTCCTTGTTCTTTATGCTCTTTACCCCGGTGAGGACCTGGATGGCTCGGTCTTGATTCTGATGTCTTGAGGTTGATGCATGTGATGACTGTCTTGGTCAAGTGTTTGAGTCAAGTCTATGTTGGTTGGTGAACAGAAAGGATTCCTCTTCCTTTACCCGATTCTGCTTCACCCAAATGTCCTCTGTGATGGTTGTATAGGATGATGTTGAGTTGTCCATATGTCAATGATCAAAAGCCAGTAGGATTCACGTGTTCTATGCCTATATGATTTGTCCCCAAAGTTGGTATGATTGAAATGTGTTGAGCTTACCTTGTGTCTGACTTGGTTTGCTTGGGGACAAGAAAACGGTTAAGTGTGGGGGAATTTGATGACTTGATATATACACATGTTTTTATCCACCATTCTTATGCCGTTTGAGCCTCATTTCTCGTATCTTAGGCCGATTTCATGCTAGGTTGTTCTCGTTTGTGTTATTTCAGGTCCTATTACGTGATTGGAGGTTTGGGAGAGAGTTTCGGGTCGATTGGACGAAAGTTGGACGTCTGGCGAGAAGCTGAGGAATCCACACGACCAGACCTAGTAGCCACACGGCCGTGGGGCGTGGCCGTGTGGAATCCCATTACGCGGCCAAGCCACACTGGCCGTGTATTGGACCCCTTGTGGTCGTGTGGAATTTCCAGGGAGCTCACACGGTCATGCTGAGAATCCACACGACCGTGCGCTTCTGGCCGTGCAGCGTGCCTGAAGACCACTTAATTGAAACGCGGTGTTTTCAATTCCACACGGGCAGACTGGAAAGTCACACAGCCGTGTGGTCGGGAAATTTTGGGTTTTAACCCAATTTCGAGCCTAAGGAGAGGGAATCAAATTTCTGGAGAAAAAACAGAGCCATAGAGAGAGAAAGTGCGAAGAACACCCCCTAAGAGTGATTTTGGAGATGGGTTTCATCAATCAAGCTTGGAAATCATCCTTGGAGTGAAGATCATCATCCCAGAGCAGATTCTTCCCATCTTGAAGAGTATGACTGCTTTGTTTGCTGTTTTGCTCTCTCTCTCTCTCTCTCTATGGAGTAGAACCCTCTCTCACTTGGGTATGAAGAACCCTAGTTCCATGTGTTAGGGATCTTGATGGTAATGACTTGGGATTGTTATACTGATTGGTTATACGAGAGTTAATCGATTTACTGCTTTGTACTGGAACCCAATTCCAGTAATGAAGTTCTGTGCTTATTGCCTTAGCAGTCTATTCCGGTGAAGGGTAGTCGCCTGCCGGTTAGCCTACCTGAGAGGGCTTGGTCAGCTTAAGAGATTCCAAACTACTGTCGGATCTTTCGCAGTTTAATCAACAGTTAATCAACCTAGGGTAATTACAACCTCGACCTAACTAAGGAGCTAGGGGGACTCATTCCCAAGTGACTCTTCCCTTGCTTTAGAAAATCGAACAATTTCCTGCTTTCTTATGCTTTTAGTTAAAATCACAATCACTCGACTTAGTTTTCTATATAATAAATAATCACGGAGTAGGCAGTAGATCTAGACCCCGGGTTGACAAATAGAGCTTGCCACTTACTGCATTTCTGGACTGCGATTACACTTGGTCGCAGTTTGGTATTGTGTTTTAGCGTGTCAGATTTATACCTCATTTTACTGACAAAGAATCATGTAAGCTGGTCATGAAAAGAAAGAGGACGAGACTACGAGCATCTGGGATCAAACGACACTTGAATTAGAGATCAAACGAGCTCGACGAAGCTTAGGAGTTAGGAGTGCATGCTAGAAATTGTGCACGGCCGTGTAATATTGTGCACAGCGTGCGAGTTTTCCAGGGAGTTGCACTGCCAAAATCTCAATTTGCACGGCTGTGCAAGTCGCGGGTGCAAATTTCAGCGGGTGTAAAGGCTGTTTTGCGATTTTTGGAGAGGGAGAGTTAGGTTTTGGTTCCCAAACACCCAAGGGACGAACTAAAGAGGGAGAGGATGATTTGAGGACATTTTTGGAGACTTGGAAGATCGAGGAACAAGCCCGGACTTGAAGCACACTTTGGTATCCCAGGTGAACTGCTCCACCATGAGCTCCAATTGGCTCATCGATGATTGTGGAGTGTAGCAAGATTGTTCTACGCTTGAAAATGCTCCATCAGATCCCCGGGTAAACCATTCAACCATGAGTTCCAATTCGCTTCTTGGCTCCGTTGGTGGAAGAAAATCTACTCGGAATAAGGAAGCCTCTTCATATCTCCATTGGTATGGTTCTTCTTCTTGGAAAGGGGGTAGGTAAAAGAATCCGAACCCTTGACTTCCACTATCTTGATTGTCCCATGATGGTTCGGGGTAACCATCTTCAGGTATTGATGAATACCCCCACACTTTGGTGAAGTCATAAGGACCCAAGATTCAAAAGCTTGTACACAAACAGAAACACTAAAAAGAAAATCAAACACACACAACCACCCTTCAGGGAGAAGAGTGGGTGAAAAACAAAGTACGAAAAGAAACAAATGCGAAAATAACAAAAACACATAAAAGCACAAACAAACTCAAAAGAAAACAACACACAAAGCAAGATAAAGTCTAACTAACAACTTAATGGTTTTCTACTAGTTACCAAGGGTCCCCGGTGACGGCGCCAAAAAAGTTTGATCTCTTGAATCAGTGTAGGTTATTGTTAGAGGTTAGCACATATCAACAACTATCCCATTATAGGACAAGTTTAACCTAAGATGACATTGCCGTATAGTGGTAATCAAGGTCGTATTCTACTCGGGTCCTGGTACCCTAGCCTACTTCCCACCTAGTTGCTAATTAGTTAATCGGTTTTTGAGGTTTTGAGTGGAGGATATGAGGAAACACTAGACTAGAGATTGATCAAACCTAAAAGCGGGTACTTCGGGGAACTATCCCTCCCCCTAGCTTAGGGTTACTATGCATGTCTAGATACTTAGGGTCATCGAATGTGGTGAGTGAGCTCTTTTCCGTGGGCCATCGTCATTATCCACACGCCTCCGAGTACACCTCCCCTAAACCCATATATAGTAACCTCGATCTAGGCTATCGTATATGGGGAATTAGGCTTATGGCTCATTTCAATGGACACTATCCACCGTCCACACCGAGGTTTCATCCCGGGTTTCATCTAGGAAGGCTACCTATAGTAGGAGTTCGGTCGCCTCGACCACTATAGGCCCCATTCACACATCTATCTTAAACTCGCCAGATGGCGCATACCCGTCTAACCCTAGAACTCCATACCCAACGCGGTATCATAAAGTAGGATAAGAGGGAAGATTATGGTGACTTACCCAAGCATCATCATTTAGGAAAGAGTGGCATTAAAATCAACTAGACAAACACATTCATTCATTCAAACCCTAAAATATCCATACATACATAGTAAAATCTAAAAGTAGGGTTTGGGGTTCAGAACCCCTAGTACCTTAGAGGAATACTCCATACAGAAGGTAAGAAGATATATGGTAGAAATAGAAGAAGACTTGGGGTTGAAGAAGATGCATCATTGCTCCTAGCTCCTCCTCCTCCTTCTTCTCTTCTCCTTCCTTCAACTTATCTCTCTTCTCTCTCTCTAGAAACCGGAAAATTTCTCTCAAAATCAACTCACTTCAAAAGGGGAAATGGGTCTTGTATTTATAGGCATTATGGATTCGAAGAATTTCGCGGCTTGAGGTAAGGAGATCGCAGGCGGGATCTTTGGTCTCTTGGTCGTGATCTCAAAACGCAATCGTCGAGGCCTTTGAGAAGGGGAAGATAGCGGGTTGACTTCGCGGTTGCGATCCTCTAGTCACGACCGTGATCTTCCTCGCGGGCAATGTGAACGTGGTAGTGACGTGACTGAGGAGACTCTCTGCTTCTCTCAGGCTACTTCCTCACGAAGTTCGCACCCTGAGCCCCCAAGATCGCGGTCGCGATCTATGACTTCTGGGCCGCGCATCTTCAGCTAGACTTCGCGGCTTGTGATCCCGACCGTGA